TGCTATGGATGGCGCTTTTGAGAACTTTTTGATTTTAATTGGCGCCTTATTAAGTGTTTTAATAATAATAATAATAATAATGCATATACAATACATATACATATACAATACATACACACATACATACATAAACATATACATACACACATACCTACACACACACATATATACACAGAGATACAGACACACATACACACAAATAGACATACAAACAAACAAAGCGTGTTAAAAAGCATTCATGTAACTAAACAAAAAAAAATTCAAACTCTAAAAAGAAGCGAGTCTATAAACTTTATTTAGGGTTGCTTTGAATTTCGTGACCGTGCTTTAAACATTCTGATACATACATACAAACATACATACAAACATGCATACAAACATACATACAAACATGCATACACAATTATATACATACATATATGCTTGTATACATAACATACATACAAGTATACATACATAATACAAATTTACCAAAAAGTATTCCGTTTCGTGTCGTCTATTTTAAATATAAATCTTCATCTTTCTTTCTAACTCTTACTCTAGCTCTGTCTCTCACGCGTTCTCTCGCTTTTTTTATTATTTTTTAATATTCTCTCTCTCTTTCTCTTTCTCCCTTATTTTTTTTATTCTCTTCTCTACCTATCTTACTTTTTCTCGCACATTTTTAAAGCCATTTTAACTTTTAACTTTTTCTCTTTCTTTCTTTCATCCTTTGTTCCTTTCTTTCTTTCTTTCTTTCTCTCTATCTCTTTCTCTATTTCTATTTTATTTTTATATTTTAATTGTCTTCTTGCTTTTTCTGCCTTTTTATTTACCTCTCTCTTTCTCCTCTTTCTTTCACTCCTTTCTCTCTTTCTCTCTCATTACCTCTTTTTTTCTACTTCTTACTTTCCCAGTAAATTTAATACGGCCATAGTGCTAATGCTTAAATTTCGTTTTAAGACCTTCAGCATCACTTGGGACTTGCGTAGGTTTCTTTTATGTTCTGACTGACGACTGCCATTTTTGATGTCGTTTGAAATGTGTGCTTTTTGTTTGCGTTTGCTGCTGTTGAAGCTGATGCTACTGCGTCTGCTGCTGTTAAAGCTGCTGCTGTTAAAGCTGCTGTTGTTGCTGTTGTTTCTATTTGTTTTTTTTTATTTCAATTTTGTTTCTCTTGCCTTCAACTTTGTTGTCGATTTTGATATTATCGTTAATTAATCCAGAGCTATACACACACATACACACAAACAAACACAATTATATATATATATATATATATACAAACAAACATATATATATATATATACAAACATATATACACAAACACACACACAAACAAACAAACACACAAATAAACACAAACATCAACAAAAACATTTGAGAAGCGGGCTCGTGTACGTCAGCGTAAGCTCGTATGCGGTGATCACTGATTGGAGTGAGGGCGAGTGAGTGAGAGGAAAAAGAAAGAGATAAAAAGAGAGAGAGGAAGAAAATGGAAGAAAAAATAAAAAAAGTAATTTTAGGAGAGAGAGAGAAAACGAGAATAAATAAGAGGAGAAAGAGAGAGAAAAAGGCAGAGAGACAAAGAGAGAATAAATGAGAGAAAGAGAGAGAAAAAGGCAGAGAGACAAAGGGAAAAATATAAGGTTATTTTAAGAGAAAAGTAAAGAGAGAGAGGGAGAGAGAAAGAAAGAGGGAGAGAGTGGAGAGAGAGAGAAAAACAGAAGGGGTGAAAACATTTTATAAGCCCGTAACGTTACATGACGGGCGAAGCAGAAGATGAATGGCTGGACAGTGCGTGCAAGACACATGTCGATAGCAATTTCTGCAGATAGATGTGGATGTGTGTGTGTGTGTGTGTGTGTGTGTGCGTGCGTGTGCGTGTGTGTGTGTGTTGTGTTTGAGGATTGTCTGATGTTGTTGTTTGTTTATATTTAATTAATTGTTTCTTTATTTATTTTATGTATGTAGGTATTTGATGGCTGGAAATGTTTTGTCTTTGGTTTGTTGTTGTATGGCGACGCTGATGCCATATTGTGGTGATGATGCCATGTTGTGGTGATGATGTTGTTTGTTTGTTTGTTTGTTTGTTTGTTTGTTTGCTTATTTGTTTGCTTATTTGCCTGCTTGTTTGTCGTTGTAGTTTGTTAATGACGTCATCCTGTTTGTTTGATGACGTTGTTTTTTTGTAACTGATAACGCCATTTTTTTTTGTTCGGGTACGTTTAAGAAGTTGGTAATTAATTTTAACGGCGAGATTAATTTGATAGCGGACAACGCAATTAATCAAATAGCTAGTTATTCCAGTTTGTTCGTTCGTTCGTTCGTTCGTTCGATCGTTCGTTCGTTCGTTTGTCTGTCTATCTGTCTGTCTGTTTGTCTGTTTGTTTGTCTGTTTGTTTGTTTGTTTTTTGTTTTTTTGTTTTTTGTTTGTTTGTTTGCCAGGTTTCACGGGTAACTAATTTCTAACTGGTATGAAGAAGAACTTCAGAAGAAAAATAATGTATCATTGATATTTTTCTGGTTTTATTTTTAAAATTTAAAAAAAAAAGTAGAAAAACAAACAGAAAAACAATCTCGAACTTTTTTGAAAATAACTTTTTAAAGTTTTTTTTGTGGAAATAATGTATGTATGTATGTATGCATGCATGCATGCATGTATGTATGTATGTATGTATGTATGTATGCTGCATGCATGCATGTTTGTATGCATGTAAGTTTGTATGTATTTGAATTAAATAGCACTTATCTGAGTTATGAGGTCGATGTTTATTTATTCATCCGCCATAAATCATATTTCACGCTCAATACATCCTTTATTGCCCCGGTCTGTTTTCGTTCATTTTTCCTACATGTTATTCGCGAATATCTAAACAAAATGTTTATTTATTTATTTCATTTATTTATTTTTTCAATCAATCAATCATTCAATCAATCAATCAAACATTCATTCATTCATTCATTCAAACAATTAATCATTCATTCGTTCAGGATATTTTACGTGTCACATGACTCAAAGGACATGAAGATATTCAGTTACATCGCCAAAGAAGAGGACTGTAATGTTTTTAAATGCAGCGTCTTTAAGGCTTTGAAAAAGGTTGTGTGTGTTTGTGAGAGAGAGAGAGAGAGAGAAGGAGAAAGAGAGAGCATGTGTGTATGTTTGTACGTGTGTGTGTGTGTATGATAGAGAAAGAGAGAAAAAAAAGCGAAAGAGAGAAAGAGAGAGAGAGAGAAAGTGCTTGGTGTTTGTATGTGAGTGTGAGTGTATGTGTCCATGTGAAAGAGAGAGAGAGAGATAGAGAGAGATATTATGTGTGTGTTTGTGTGTGTGAGGTGTGTGTGTGTATACACAACAGATTAAGGATTGGCTTGTCGTTTACGGATGGTGTTAAATGAACTTTCTTAATGTCACACACCAAATGCAAAGCCAGTTGATAAAATCTTACCATTTAACTATAAAAATCTCTTTAAATGTGTATGTGTGTTCGTGTTTGTATGTGTGACAAGATATTAAAAGACTAATAATCATAATCATAATAATAATTATTATTATTATTATTTTTCCATAGAATCAAGCCGGCATTATCGTAAAAACAATCGGCCAGGCTTTTGAAGTCTCTCACATAGCCCACCAAGCCAAAAAACAAGAGCGACTGAAGGAATTAATGAATAAAGAAAATAATAATAACACGAATAATAATAATAATTATTATAACAATAATTCTAATAATAACGATAATGATAATGATGACGAATACGACGATGATGCAGACGATGACGTGATGAATGACGTTTGCGATAGTAATAATAAGAATAATAATAATAATAATGATAAGAATAATAATAATAATAATAATAATGGAATCTGTAGTCATAGTAACAATAACAATGGTGGTAGTAGTAGTAATAATAATAATAATAATAATACAAATATCAATAATATTAATAATAATAGCTGCTGTAGTAGTAGTAGTAATGGTAATAATAATAATAATAATAATAATAATAATAATAATAATGGTGATGATAATGATAAATCCAAGTTGCATTTGGATGTTGACGCTGGTTCACCATCCGCTGAGAAGAAAGGTTAGAAATTTTCGCGGATTTATTTATTTTGGCTCTGCTTTGCTATTACTACTACTGCTGCTGCTGCTACTACAATTACTACTACTACTACTTACTACTACTATTTACTATTGATACTACTATCATTACTATTACTGTTGCTGCTACTACAATTACTGTTGCTGCTACTACAATTACTACTAATAATAATAATAATAATACTTCTGTTACTACTACAAATACTGCTACTACTACTACTTCTACCACCACCACCACCACCACCACTACTACTACTACTACTACTACTACTACTACTACTACTAGTGATGCTGTTCTTGTTACTGCTACTACTGCTACTGCTACTAAAACCCAAGATAATATATATATATGACAAACAAATCATTTTTATCGGGGAAAATTTCTTATAATTTTGACATTATTCTTCCAAATCAATTGCTAATTTTTTCTGTTCTAGATCAATATCATTGCGTGTTGTGTTTTTTTTCTTTTATTAAAATTCCAGAGTGCAATAAATAATAATTAATCAGTTGTTTTGGGATGATTTTATTTTTAAGAGTGCGACCCTAGCAAATACGATCATTCTATCACATGTCCAAACCAAGATTTCAAGACGGAACAAGTTTGTAAAGTTTGGTCCTATTTATTTCTTAATTTTTTAGTAAAATTTTTAAGCTTGATCTTATTATTCTGCAATTTCTAAATAATAATATTTTTATAGTCTAATAACTAATTTTAAAATATATAATTACCATTTACTAATAAGTAATACTTATCAATTTCATTTTCCAGGGTGTCGAACCTGCGGTAGCGGTTGGTGCAGTAAATGAAGCGTCCACCAGTGCGTTGCATCTGAAAGCGGCCATGAATCAAAAATTAAAAATTAAATGCCAGGAGCTGACGTTTTTGAGGTCTCAAAATAAATTGCTTCAGAGGCAGCTGGAAGTCGAAATTCAAGCGAGGGAGCAAGCTGAAGTTGTTTTTTTTTAAGTTTTCTTAATTTTTTCCATTTTTCTCTTCAACCAATAAAGCATATTTATATAGCGCAATATCCGAAAGGTCATTATGTAGCTGCAATCAAAACATTTATGTTGCTTAATATACATTTATATACACAATATAAGACATATTGTAATTGTTAATATATTATAATTATAATTAATTAATTATAGTTAATCATAATTAATGGTAATTATGTGGAGACAGCAATCAAGGGAGAAACTGCTGACGCAGAATCAGGAATTGATATCCCAAGTGGATGTTCTGCTACGAAAGTTGGATCGGTACGAACGATCGTCAGCTGTCTGGAAATCCAAAACCCTCAACCTCAATATATCATCTGAGGTATCTTTGCATTCCTTTTTTTAGTATCCTTCTTTCCTTCTTATTGGTTTCAACAACAAACACACAGTGCGTGAAATATATCATACACCAAATCTTATAGGCGGGGGCTGTTTCTCTGCATTCAACATTTGCATGAGTCAGGCACTTTATCGAACTAGTATTCCACTCAGATGGTAAAATTAGAATTAGCGGATACTAAATTACTCTTGTTAGAGGCAGTAAATTCATTGAAAAGTTAATTAGCAGATGGTTAACAAGTGCACAGGGCAATATTTTCTTCTTGATTCGCCAGAGAACGCTATTCAATTTAAGATTATTTGGCTTATGGATGAATGAAACGCTGAAACAAAACAAAAATTTGTATAGCAAATTTAAGAGAAAACAATCAAATTAATTAAAAGAATGATATTCAAATTAAAATAATTTACTAATACTTTGAAAAATACTTAAAAATGAAAAATTGAATTTCCATCAAACCTTCATAGAAATGCATGCACACGTTGTCGATGACAAGCAAGGAAGCGAAAGATTCTCCAGACAGTGGGATGCTCGAAACGACGGAAATGACGTCAGACGTCACATCCGAATGCACAACTTCACCGATCGATCAGTGGAATCGACCAGGGATCGACAACGCCGCTGTCATCTCGACTCCAACCAAGACATCTCCAAATGAACAAAATCTAATTGACATCACGAAACAGCCCGCGTCGAATTCTCCCAACCAACAAAGCAACGGATCCAGCAACCCGACCAACCAAAACGCCACTTCAGATTCTAACACCCCATGTCCGAATTCACTGACGGAGTCCTTCAAGTCAATTTCAATCTCACTACCAAAACCGCTCAGCCTAAATCTCGCTCTCTATAATAAAATAAACGCGCGGCTTAGCAACAAAAACCCAACTAACGATCAGCTAAACAGAAAACGAAACAGCGCCGAAAAGATGAAACTGATCGAATCCTCACCGAGTTTTCAGCGATTTAGTAGATTACTAACATCGGGTAAAAATAAAATACTCAATAACTGCAACAGTAAAAATACTACCTCTCTATTAGGTAGCGATAGCGAGAAAAAGTCTAAAAATAAAAATTCTCAGAATAAATCGAAAAAATTTAGTTTGGAGAAAGTTATCTCGATGAGACGAAATAGCATTGGGGACTCGAGGACCGAGCTGGAGCTCAGTTTTGGAGATTAAATGATTTTTTGTAATTAATTTATTTATTATTTTGAAATAATTTATTCAGTATTTCTGATTTCAAATATGTTTATTTGATATTTTTCAGATATTTATACAATATCTTTAATTAATTTATTTAATAATTTTAATCAATTCAACTAAAGTTCTAAGATTTTATTTAATTTTGTCCAAATTGTCTCACGAGTTTTTCTTAATTGTTCCAAATTAGTTTTAATAAACTGAAGATATTTGAGGCGATTTTTATATTTTTAACCTACCTATCCGTTTGTATTTTTTGACATATCGAAGTTTTTCTTTCATTTTTCACAAATTCATGTTTTATTTATTTATTCATCCAGTCATTTATTCATTTACTCAGTTTATTCATTGTTTAACAATATTGCTCATCCGTATCCGTTCGTTCCTTCATTCATTCATTCATTCATCCGTTCGTTCATTCATTCATTCACTTATTCATTCATTCGTCCATTTATTCATCCATTCATCTGTTCACATGTAATAATCTCTCGAAACAAAACTGGCCAAAATATTTTATTAACATTTTCATCACATGCTCAAGCTATTTATTCATCAATTCATGCATTCTTTCATTCATGCATTCTTTCATTCATTTACATTCATTCATTCACTCATTTATTCACTCACTCATTCATTCATTCATTCATTAAAATTCCTCTCAATAAATAGCAACAAAATGAACACAAACACTACCAAACACAACGCCATGACAACATTAATACAGACAGGTTCGAAATTCTCAAATTTGCAACGTTAGCTAGGGTGAACGGTCAATATTCCTTAACTATGTGAATATTATTTAGCATTATCGCTATAATAATTATAATAATTATCGTTATAATAATAATAATAAGTATTATTATTATTATAATTATTATTATTATTGCTAATATTACAAATTTTGTTAACGTTAATACGATTCTTTAAAATTGGTAAAAACTTAATGCTGAAATTCAATCTATCTATCTAAACAGTATTCTAATAGAGCATTATGTATGTATGTTGTATGTGTGTGTGTGTGTTTGTGTGTGTTTGTGTGTGTGTGTGTGTGTGTGTGTGTGTTAATGTTTTAATTGTCAACAATATTCATTCCAAAGACTTACCTATACACTCATCTTCAATGAATGGCTATTCGATTATTATTGACCTTGTGTTAACATTTTTCTTAAAATTTTTTTTTGTATTTTCAGTTTTTGTTTTCAATTGTTTTTCATTGTTTTGTTTCTTTTTTAGTTTTGTTTTGTGTTTTTTTTTGGTATACCTATATATACATACATATATATATATATATATATACTAAACATATATGTATATATATATAAATATTTGTATATGTGTATATATATATATATATATATATACATACATATAATGGTAAGAACTTCATATAAAACATATTTGAACATTGCTTTCGCATAATTAAGTCATTGTTAATCAATGCTAATCTATAAAAGTAAACAAAATGTGTTTGTGTGTGTTTATGTGGGTGTATGTATGATGTGTGCGTGTGTGTTTGTTTGGTATGTATATTCATAAATATTATTCACTTAATAGTAAAATGAAAATAAATAGAACTGATGTAATGATGACGGTTGTGATTATGATGATCGTGATGCTGGTAATGGTAATGACGATAACGATGATGATGATGCTGATGATACTGATGATGATGATAATGATGATGATGATGGTGATGATGATGATGCTGATGATACTGATGATGATGATAATGATGATGATGATAATGATGATGATGATGCTGATGATGATGATGCTGATGATAATGATGATGATGATGCTGATGATGATGATGCTGATGATACTGATGATGATGATAATGATGATGATGATAATGATGATGATGATGCTGATGATGATGATGCTGATGATACTGATGATGATGATAATGATGATGATGATGATGGTGATGATGATGATGCTGATGATACTGATGATGATGATAATGATGATGATGATGGTGATGATGATGATGCTGATGATACTGATGATGAC